AAATGCAATGATAACACTGAATTTAGTGTTGCTGTTCTAGATGACACAACAGATGTAATAATATATTTTCACATCAACCTAGGAAAGTAATGGAGGTGCATCATTATGTCCTAGTTAACCGTTTCAATTGAAACATTAAAAAAAAAAATACATGCTATCCAGCTTCACACATACAGGTGATGGATGCAAGAGTGCAGACTGAAGCATATGCTACACACATATATACATACACACACAAACATGCATGAATATAAGTATAGGACATGGCCAATGTGGGAATTGGTTTTGTTTTGCTTGGCTACACATGTTTGTAATGTTTTTTTCTTGTTTTCTCAAAACAAGATAAGGTGGGGTAGAGGAGGGGGAAGTGGGGGGAGAGAATGCAAACTGGAAAATAAAATGGAATTTTTTTTCTTTAATGGTAGAAAAGATACTGCCTGACTCTAGAATTAAGCCCTAGAGTCACTGAATACTGCTAACATCCTAACGCTAGACAATGAGGTGTAGAAACCTAAAATTAAACCATCAATTTCTCTGAGACATCTTGAACCAAAAACACATATCATAGTACTGTCTTAGCTGACTGGCCATTCCTTAAAAAAAAAAAAAGTTTTAAATTACACAAGTGAACCAAACAATAAATGCCTCACAGTTTGGAAATGATCAGCACTGTATTTTAAGAATTTAATGAAATGCCACTAACAGAAAAGGCCCACCTTTTAATACTGATTGAAGGAATCTAAGTAAAGGGTTCCTAACTTTCCTATTACTTGGAAGACACTACCATCTTCCCAGTCAAGCTTGAAACCTGCCATCCTCAAATCTTTACTCTCTCTCCCCTGCTCCCCTCATCTAATCTGCTGCCAAGTCTTGTCCAAATCATACCTAGACTACTGCAATAGCCAGTTGGTCAGCCTGCTACAAAGCCTCTCCCCCCTTCAGTCCATCCTACTCCACCACTCAGCTTCAAATTCATCTTCAAAAATATAGGTTTAATTATGTCACACTCTCCTAATTCAATAAATCCCATTGGCTCCCATCACCCCTCGGAAGAAATATGAAATCTTCTGTTTGGCATTCAAAGCCCCTCCTGACCTACTTCCTTCCCCCTCACCCCTGCCCCATTTCTGGTCTTCTTATACCTTAATTCCCTTTCCTCCTCTGTCCTCTTTCTGATGATCCACTGCCACCAGTCTCCTTACTATTCCTAAAACAATATACTCCATCTCCTGGCATTTTCACTGGCTGTCCCCCTACCTGGAAGCTTCTCCCTCCTTGCTTCTTTCAAGTTCCAGCTAAAACCTGATGTTCTATGAGAAGCCTCTTCTGATTCCACACTGTCCCCGCCTTAATTCTAAAAGGTTCTCTCTATTGATTATCCCCAATTTATCTTGTCCAACTAATTTTATAGATGAGGAAACTGAGGCAACCAATGTTAAGTGACTTGACCAGGGTCACACAGTTACTAAGTGCTAGATTTTAACTCACAAAGAAGAGTCTCCCTGACTCCAGGCCCAGAACTCTATCCACTCTGCCACCTAGCTGCCCTCCTGCCTCACACATAGGGAATGCTTAATTAATGTCTGCTGATCTGACCAAAACTTTTAATCAGTGTGAAAAATTACATATATACATAGATGTGCGTATACATATAAATGCAGAGTGCACACAAACACTCAGGACCTGCTTTTCTCCTGCATCCCTGTTCTTTAATCGTACAAACATTCTCTTTGAGGAATCAAAAACCTTTTACAGCTACACAGGAATTTGGAAAGGTAGGTCTTGCCTCACTGAAGGGGAAATAAAAAAGAAAAGGCAAAGACAGTGTAAAAGGGAAGTAGAAATTGGTAACAAGTAGCTATTTTATGACTTCTGCCATTCATAAAGATTTCAACTGATAAAAACAGAAGTGAGATCACTTCAACCAGAAGATGGCATGCTTGTCCAGTCAAAAAATGAAACAAAAACACAAAGATTATTCTTCACAGCTCCAACACTTGACATTTCAAATGACCTTAACCTGACTCTTCTCCATGGAATACAAATGATGGATGTGGCAGCACACTCCCTGTAGCTTTTCTTCCCCCCCCCACGTCTTATCAAATGGCCCCCCAAAATTGAAAAGAGCATCACTAAGAGGTGGCATGGTGAAGAGTGAAGACCTCTGGGTGGGAGACCTGGATTCAAATCCAACCTTAACCACTAGCTACAAGATTCTGGGGAACTCAATCTCTCAGAGCATTAGTTTTCTCACTTGCAAAATGGGAGTAATCATATCTGTACCATCACAAGGTTGTGAGAAAAGCACTTTGTAACCATTAAAGTATGATATAACAATGACTAAAGAATAGCACCTAAAATTTTGGCATTTCAAAAATATCTTCTATCACTCACATTTTATTCCTAAAGCTTTTTACAATTCAAAAAACGTTAAGTCTGCCCCCGCTAGTATTATGCACTAAAAAGAATAATAAATTTAAGAGTATGGAATGCAGGGTTTTATTTCTCTATTATCTATGTCATTCACTGAACTAGAGTCTACATACTCTTCTACCCTCCATAGCATAGAATTGTGGATAAAACAGGTCTTGAATCCCTCCTACGAAAGGAATTTGTTAGGGAGTCTCAACCAAGTTGGAAGTTCCATAATACAGATTCTAAGGACATCATTATGAGATTCCAGCATACTTGTAACACAATTCAACAAAGTGACCACCTTAAATCTTTCATAGAGGGGAAAAAAAAAGAAAAAAAAGAAAAGGAAAAAAAGAGACTTAAAATTATTGCTTAGCGGAGCCCCTTAAGGAAAAGAATTGTAACCTTAGTATCTTTTGAAACTGTAAGGCCTAAAGATATAATGGAAACTTCTGATACCTTGGCTTTACTTTTCTTAAATGAAAATATTATTGATCCTTAAACACAGTGTACAGAAGATACTGAAGTGTTTCATCTGTTTAATATGAAAGTTAAAAAAAAAAAAGGCAGCATATTAAGCCTGAGATCTTCACCCTTGAATTATAACAGGATACACACACACACTCCAAACGAATGCTTGGAAATCTGGCATTAACAGAATAAGTCACAAAAACTTAAGCATTATACACATTTTTAATAAAAAATGGATCTCAATTTAAGTATCTGTGGAAGCTCTCCCAGGTACTTCTCTCCTGGAATAACTTTCCCATAGGGAAATAAACCTCAAAAAATAAGTTGATGGTGCTTACCCATCAACATTTTGTTATGTCCTCCAACTCAGGATCGGTATACAAAATTCAGAATTTTCCTGATAAAGGTTTTCACTAAGCGCAAATCTAACAACCATTGAGAGAACATTTCTCCATTCTCAATACATCTTTGAAACCATAAAATAAATTAGAATGAATACTACATAAACTAGATTGGTGCCTTAGTTTTTAATTAGTCCCCTTAATGGTGTCAAAACATGCTGGCTTTTCACAGTGGTATGGAACAATACAATATATACAAGGAGAACTTTCGGTTAAAAGTGTTCAATAGTCCTAAAGTCTAATTGGAACTAACTTGCTATGTGTCTTCTAAAGACAAGACCGAAGAACTACTAAAATCAGCATTCCGGAATCGGAGTAGAATAAGGAGACAACTGTGAAATATATTAATAATTTTTTTTTTAAAACCTAGTGTATTTTCTTTACACATGGCAACAATGGTCATATGTTATTTTAACATCTCCTTAACTGTCTTTGAAAAAGCAGCTCACAAAAATACTCCACTTTTCCTTAGTGGCAGCTAGAAGATGGCAACAGCAGATAGAATGCTGAGCTTTAAGTCACAAAGACCCGAGTTCAAATGTAGCATCAGATACTTATTAACTGTGCGATCCTGGTGACCCTGGAAAAGTTGCTTAACCTATGCCTACCTTAGTGTACTCAATTATAAAATAGAGGACATACTAAACACCTACTTCCAGGACTGTTTTCAAGATCAAATGAAGTATTATCTGTAAAGCACTTAGCAAGGGGCCAAATACATAGTAGGAACTTTAAAAAGCCTTGTTCTCTTCCTTGCAAAGACATTTCAGTAGGGTTCAAGGTAACTAAAAGCTTAGAACATGAACATGCGTGTACACACACACACACACACACACACACACACACACAACACACACCCCAACCTGTCAGGTTAGAAACTTTTCAACAAAATTACAAAAAGAAGACTGCCCAAACAATAGCTAGGCACAGAAATGATGAGTCACTGAAAACATTTCTCCCAAACTTCATCCTTTTTCAGGTCCACAGTATCCCTGAAAGAGGCTCCTTTGATTAGGGGCTAATTGAGTGACTGAAGCAAAGGATTTCAATGAAGTCCATTTAAAACAGAAATCACCGTACCTTTATCTTATTGAACGGCAGAAGCTAGTTCTTCAAAGGGAAAAATATAGGACCAAATTCTAATTTGCTCTGGTCATGTGTTGTTACTTCATGTCACAGTGACTAGACTAGAGATTCATTTGTACTGCTTTTCTTTCCCTGGACAAAACAGAATTCCCCTTCAATCTTAGACAATTTCATGGATTAAGGAAATTTCTTTTATCAAAGGGGTGTCCCCAAGACAAGCTTCCTGAAGTAACTGAACAATCCTGAGGGACATAATGGAATACTCCTTCGAGAAGAACTTGAAAGAGAGATTGACCACTTTTTTGGAGGGTTTGTTAACTTGTTTTGCAATAGCAAAGTTTCCCATTTGAGGAAATCATCCTTTAAGGAAAAGAATGAGCATTTCCAATTAGGCACTTGCAAGTCTAGAATTAATTTGAGTACTGAGAGAAGTCACTGCCACTTCCAGTAGTCATTGTTGGTAATGCACAATATAATGCATTTTTAAAAAAGCTACTTCTTGAAGAAAAACCACCTTACTGGCCACAGTCGATTCAAGTATACCTTGGACAACTGTTGGAAGACAGATATTTGACCTCCTCTGGGTCCAACTTTCTCCTTCTTTCTCTCTCTCTCCCCTCCTATTAGGTGGTTTCCTCTATCCAATTTGTTTTATGAGGATGGTCCCAGTTCTGAGAAGATAAGAAGGCCATCTGGATGCAGCAGTACAAAACCAATCAAGGTTAGTGTGAGCAGGTGTACCGACATACTGTATTGACAGGGTCCCCTTTTTTTCCCCCCTTTGAGGGGGAAAAATAAATTCTTTGAGCTTATGCAAGAGCAAGTTACTACTCTTTTCAAGGTGGAGAGAAACAACTGATCTGAAAGATGAAGAGTAGAACATCAGGAAAATGGGCAAGTTAACATGATAAAAGAAAGAAAAAAAGGGATTTGGTTTGGGTATTCCCGTCAGTAAATCCCAAAGGTGCAACCTGTGAAAGGTGATGAACTGTTGAACTGTGTTACAGACAGGTTAATTCTCATTCTTCATCTTTTTACCAAGACATTGTCCTGCTTGTTCAACTTTAGACTCTTTCCCAACATCTCCATTCCAAAGAATGATCAGAAAGGATTTTTTTTGGGAGGGGAGGGAGGCAGGAGGAAGAATCAAACCCAGAGAACAGGAGAAACAGTAATGATTAAGAGGGAGAATAAAACTCAGAGGGAATTAGTGCATTTTTTATAAGTAGAGAAGCAAATTTTGGCTTTGGGATATTAAAGAGAGAACTTTAAAGGAGCTAAAACGTGTTTCCACACTCTTGCTTTCACACACAAAAAAAAGCTATTATAAATAAGCCGAAAAAATTCTCTATATATCTCCTATCCCACTATTACAAATTTTAAAAAAATACAAAAATCTTAAAGCTTTTAAAGTTGTCTTAAAGTTAAATGTTTTTACATCTAGGAATTTCTGGCAAAATCTTTCCATTTAATGGGCCAAATAGCTGTCCCAGAAGAGTACCTTCAAATTTAATAGGAGTTTTGGTTCCCATTAACCATTCCTCACACTTCAAATGAAAGGTCTGGTTTACCACGAGGCAATAACTAGATCCCAGACAGAAAAGCAAGGCAGGGTTTTTGTGATAGTGAGATTTTGCCGTATTTTGGGGGAGAAAAAAATCCACATAGTATTTTACCATGCTAATTTGAATTCAGTTTTATTTCTCTCAAATTATATTGAATATTTTAAAATTTTTATAGGACATATAAGGGATTTACTTGTTACAATGATAAAGTATTAATTTTAAATTCACGTGTTATTAAAGCGAATAATTCAAAAAAGTTTTGATCTATCCAATCTCCCATTAAGTTTAGAGTTTCTAACAAGCCTTTAATAAAGTTTTAAATAAAGATATTAAGAATTACATTCACAAACCAAGGTGAGGATGAATAAAGAAAAATTCACAGTACTATGTCCAGAGTCTATGCTTGTTGGCTATTTTCAATAGCAATTCCTCCTTTCCTTCATTTTCATTTGTTGTTGTTCAGTCATTTCAGTCATGTCCAACCCTTTGTGACCCCATTTGGAGTATTCTTGGCAAAGATACTGGAATGCTTTGCCATTTCCTTCTTCAGCTCATTTTACAGATGGGGAAACTGAGACAAACAAGATTAATTGTCTTGCCTAGGGTCACACAGCTAGTAAGTGTCTGAGGCCACATTTGAACTCAGGTCTTCCTGACTCCAGACCTGGTGCTCTATCCACTGTACCACCTAGCTGCCCAGCAGCATTGGTTATTTTCATTACCAATAAAATTGGTACCTACAGATGCAAGATATTTTTGACTGATCAGAAAACTTCAGATCAACCAATTTCCTGAAGGTACCACATTGCAAGTAGCAAATTTTCCTGTGTAAATTTTAGATTGATCATGTTTGCATCAATCATACAACTCTATTTATTGCTTAACTCAAAACACTGCCTAATGTCAAACTACGAAAGGTTTACTACACATATAAGCACCCTAAAACTAGATGAGGCTATTTGAAAATTAAACAACTTGTGATAAGCAAAAAAAAAAAAAAAGATTTAAAGACACTTTAGGAATCATTAAGTTTGCATTACTTGCTCAGAGTCATACTACAACTTGCTGGACACACACACACAAAAAAACCCCACAAGTTCAGATAGCCACCCTTACCAAGTTATGATTTGTTGAAGATACTCTGCTGTTGTTCATTATATACACTTCCCCCCCCCAAACCCCCCCCACACACATAATGTAAAACCCCACCACCTTTTCCTTTTTGAACTGGTTTTACCATAGTTAACATTGGTTGAAATATTTGATGTCTTAAGGCAGTGGTAACAAACTGAAATAGAAACAGGGACCACCAAACCAAAGTAAGGATCCCCGAAGGCTATATACTGATTTAGAAAATCACATATTAACAAGGTAATATTAACATGTTAATATCTATGTTCTATTGTATTTATTTTGTTAAATATTTTTCAATTACTTTTTAATCTGATTCACACCTGGGAGTGTTGACTCATGATCTGTGTTTGACAGCTCTATCCTAAGAAAGTCTGGACATGAGAAACAGCAAACTAGCTATGTGACCATGGATAAGTCAATTAATACCACATTGCTCATTTCACACCAATTGCTATGAAGATCAAATGAAAACATTTCAGTATTCTGAAAATTTTGTAAAGTGTAATGTAAGTGTCCGAGTATCTTAGTGTCTTTTATATTTATATGGGTGATGATTCTAGCAATTTCTTCTAGGAATTACTACAGGATTAAGGGATAGGGCACTGGAGCCGTAGTTAAGACGACTTGAGTTCAAATCCAGCATAGACACTTAGTAGTTGTGTGACCTTGGAGAATTCACTTAACCATTTTCTGTTTCAACTATGAAAATCATTCCCTACACATGAAGTTACTAAGTCTCCTGAATTTACAAAAACTAAACTTTCAGCACCAATAACTCTCAAAACATTTAGCCCCAAATCTTCCAAGAGCTGATTCATTTAGTTTTTCTTGCTGCCTAAAATTAAATCCAGTGTAAACATTTCAGTTCATTTTTGACACATTTGAGTCTCAATAAAAATTCTTTTTACTTCTCCAAAGTCAGTTTATTCTTATTATTTGCATGAAGAAAAAGCTGAAACTCCTTTGGTGCTATTTAAATTTCAGCATTATTTCTTGAAGATACTGTTCAAGGAAATGTCATTCATATACCTTTTAGGAAAAACCATAATCCCAGGTAAAACTAACATTTTGCAAAAGTGCCCTCCTCTGTTTTTCTGAAAATTACTTGCATATCAATTTTACCAGCCCTGAGAGATTACCACTTACTTTCTGAAATCAAAAAAGGAACTGTGGTATATCAGAATTGATCAAAAAAGAAGCCAAGAAGTCAAATTCTGTTTCTCACCTAACGAAATCCAATAAAATCTCACTAAAATGATTCATTATTGCTCATAAATTTAGGATTGTTTCAGCCAGATTATTAATAGGCAATAATATGATTCAAATACAGCTTTAATTTAGTATAATGACCTCATATTTCAACCATTCCAATGACAAGTTCAATAACACAGGACAGTAGCAACTTAAATTGTGAACAAAAAGTAAGACACGCCATTTACCAAGTGGGATCTGGAGTTAAAGGTATAGGATATCATCTCTTTGAAAAGATTTGTTTTCATTCAGTTGCTCCTGCTTTCGTAAGAAATACTACATAAATATCCCACTGTGTTGGTTACAAAACAAAATTCATACATTAAGACACTTAGATCAATTCTCAAAAGAAAAAAAAACTACCAATGACATTTAAGTGGTATTTACCACAAGATCGATCATGATACTATAAAACACTTCAGGAAAACAAAAACAAACCAAAAACTACAAGATAATTTTTAAAAGGGGTAGGGTAGCTCTGGTTCTCCATAATCAAGGGACCTTACAGGAACGAGGGTGGGTTCTGAGAAAGATGTCTGAAGGGTTTCAATTCCAGTTGGCTTGGGACAGTGCTAGATACACAGGCCCACCCCTCAAGAGTGGCCCTGAAAGGCACTTGACCAGTCTAACCAGCTGAAGCTACAGCACACTACAGGTAAATCTTTGCATCAGGGTAGAGAAGAACCTATTTCCTGGGCTATAGAAATAGGATATTATTCATTTCATGCCACGCATCATTGATTTTCTCTCACTGGACTGATTAAACCTAAGAAGAAACAATCAATTTTCCCTTGCTCTTCCCCAAGCAGCTACCATCCCCATCTCTCTTCTCACTGACATCACAGATCAACCTTCCTAAAAAAGTTTTCTTATATATAACAAATGCCTTCATTTCCTTACTACGTATCATGACTACAATTCCTGGACATTTAGTTCTGCCCTCAGAACACTGAAACTGCTGTCCGCTATTGGGCTATGTGTTCTGGACACTGAGTACTAAAGACCTAGGTTCAAATCCTCACTCTGAAAGCTACGAATTGTGCGACCACACTCAAATCTCAACCTTCTAAGCGGCATTTCCATCATTAGCAAAATGGTGGAACCATTCAAGAAGTACCTACTTCATATGGTTACTATGAGGTTCAAGTGAGATGACATATACAAATTGTTTTATAAAACTGAAAGTGCTATATAAGTATCAGTTATCACCATGATTTGCAAGGCACTGTATTTCACAAGTGAAGAATACAAAAGACAAAATCAAAATCATCCTTATTCTTGAGAGGTTGTGCCCAGCACATTGTAAATATTCATTAAATGCTTTCTCCATCTGTTTGGAAGAAGATGAGAATTCTGAGAAGCAGAGATGAGGAGGAAGTATACTTCAGAGGACGCCATTCAGTGCTGAAGTTCAGAAACGGCTACCAGTACAGCTTGGCTAGAATTAAGAGTGAGTGAAGAGAAACAGTGTGAAATAAATAAGGCTGCAAAAAGTAAGCTGGAGTCAGCCTGTGGAGGTTCTTGAATTTGATGTCAAGCTGGAGAATTTGTATTTTATTCTACAAGCTATAAAGAGCTACTGAAGACTTGATCACGGGTATTAACATAGATGATTATTAAATAAGGTCTGTGTCTCTGGCACTCATACAGAGAATCAACTACAGAAGAAGGAGTCGAATTAGGAAGCTATTATAGTAGTCCAGGTGAGAGATAATGGCAGTTATTTGAATTATGCAAGCACGTGTATGACATAGTTGATGCAGACTGGGGC